TTTTTAGTTTAAATTCAAATCAATTCAAAACTTTACTTCCTTTGATGATAAATTTAATTTACAAATTAACTTGATGCTAGTCTGCCATAAATTTAAAATACTGATATACTGTATTCAGGTTTGAAGAATCTGTGACAAGCATTTGAAAAAGCTTGTGTGTGATAATGACAGATTTTTGAAAGGTAAAATTTTTACCAACAAGATGGTTTCTTAGCCCAAAGCATGAAAGGAACCCTATATGAGAACTGTAAAATCATACTTAGCTTACAGTTCATCAATACAGATGTACCTTACCATCATATTTAACTTATTTGTAAATACTTTTCTAAGGCTACCTAAACATTTACTAATTGGTTAAATATGGTGCCTACTCTGCTAATTTCTGTTTGCATTAAAATTTTAAGGAATCTAAATGCTCACTTTTGTACAGATCTGAATACCAACTGTTATTCTGAAGAAGTGTTCAAATATTTTATCAAAGATACTTAAAACATAAAAACGTTTCAAGGGAGGATTTATAGCCCTGATGCCTTTTACCTTTCCTCTATCCTACACTTTGAGGAACAGATTCATTTGTTCTAGACTTCCACAGAAACTCTTCTTTTACTCAAAGAACTTAAGAATCTAAGATAGTATTAGTACAAAGAGAAAAGTTTTAGATTTCACCAGATTAAATACATGTAGAGACCTATTAGAAACACTATAAAAGCCTAGGCAATGTAAATGAAGCTATGCAAGTGAAATCACCCACTTTATTAGCCTACACATTTTAAGACAGCTTCATTTACTGAATGAAAAAGATCTAAATAAAAACATATTAAACCCTCCAAGTTGGCACTATCACTTTGATTGTATAGCTAGGACTTCAAAGGTAGTTTACCTATGTGATAAAGTTATATCTTTTAAAGTGTGTGATAAAAGACAAAACATTAAGTATAATTAAGCAAGAAGCAATTTAATCCTTAAAAAGCAAACTCATCTTTTACAGAAAACTTAATCAACCAAAATATCCACTGCAGCAATCAAGACTCCATGATATGCTCAAAAGGCAGACTTTGATAATAAGTAGGAAAATGAACAATCTTCATTTTTAACTAAAGTTAAGACTATCAATAAATAAAATCCACTATCTTAATTGGATGAAATATGTCTACAGAGTTTAAAACACTTTGACAAGATCTATTCTGGGAATGTTATCAATAATAACCCTTGAATCTCTTTCTCCTTAAATAGAAGAACTAAATTCTTCCTAGAACTCTCACTAACTTTGAATTAGTGAGATTAGGAACATTTTAAATAAGATCTTAGTCTGTAAAAGCATTGTTAATCCTAACTGTGGGGTGGGGAGGAAGGTTTGATTTATGCATCATCCTCAGAATATCAGAAAAGGTAGCTTTAGAAAATCAGCAGACTTTAGCAGCAACTGGGGGAGAGGGATGCTCAACAGGCAATATTTCCGGTACATAGAAAAAGCTTTACAAAAAAAAAAAAGCAAATTCAAGTTAGATACCATGTTGTGCTCTATCAAAAGAGAACTCCCCTAGGAATTACTAATTCCATACTAGTACACATGGTAGTATTTTCTAATTCAGACAGTAGCTAGTTGTGTGAAACATACATTCAAACTCACACTATTTGGGGAGCAGGGGTAAAAGAGAATCACAATACTACTGCTTTTATTTAAATTGACAAAAAACTTATGATAACATGAAGTTTCCAAGTAACCTGAACATTTCAATGATCTATCTTGTGTTGCAGCAAATGCTTTTCATTCACTTTTACAGAAAACTGATTTCTTGATGTCACTTTCTGGTTTATTCAAGTACTGTTTCCCTTCTTTTAAACATATAATGCATTTCTGCCTATTCTGAGGCAATGGTAACTTTGCCTTTTACTGAAGAAAAGGCATATGAAAACTGAAGTCCACTAAGGCTTTATTGATAACATTATTAGATCTCTGAAAGTAGAGACAGTTATTAAAATTCAACTTCAATTTTTCATATTAGTAGATTAGTTATTTTCTTAGTATTTACTTAAGAGTAGCTAATGTGATTTAATGTTTTAAAGTGAGTTTTTTAAAAAAAAATTCTAACTGCTTCCAAAATCAGAAACCACAAGTTGATATTCAACTAATCTAGTGTGGTATAGTTATAGACATTTTAGAGAAGTGGCAAAGATAAGAGATCAGTTGTGAACACAGGTTAACATACGACAGACTACAAAAAGCATCATGTTTATACAGCAGGAAAGGTGATTTGCACAGGAAGCCTAAAAGCTCAGCTCTCTTATCTAGAAAAAGAACCACTAAGTATTTAAGTTACTTTCATTAAGAATTAAATATAAAAGAAAAACTAGGATTTCTTTCAGAAACCTGCATACACCTGTGGAAAATGCAGTGCAAGTAATTTTTTATACATTGTACACACTTTCAAACAGATCATCACTAACACATTACAGCTTTTTAAACTAATGGAAAACAAACCCTTGAGGGCAGGTGATATAGCTTACAATAGGTAAACATTCAGCAGTTACTAAGACAAATAAATTATATCAAAAGATACAATGTAATTGTTCTTGTGATCTTAAAAACATTTTAAAGGCTCAGAGCCATAGGAGAAGTATGTATGGTACAACCTTTCTAGAGTGAATATATATATGTAAGCCTATCCACAGTTCATACATACTTTCACAGGAATGGCCATTGCTCAAGTGTTTAAGTCCCACCCCCCCCAACCAAAAACCAAACTTGTTTACAATTTTCAACAAGAAGCCCACAATCTACCATAAGCCAAAGTGGCTATTATTTATTTTAAAGTTTTTATAAAATGGCTATAAAATACCACTAGTGACCAACAGAGCCCTTTGATCTCACTGCATGGGATTCATAACTTCAAATTGTGCTATGCTATTATTACACTATATACCTTAAAGTATTTCCATTTCTCCAAAATTCCTTCCAAAATCAGTTTCCAAAGCAAAGTAATCTAACACAAAAAGTTCCTGTGAGGACTTGTTACACAAAAGGAATGCTTGGATACAAACAAATCTACACATTTATCCCTCTTATGAAGTTTTTTACTCCATCCCATTCCATCTCTCCCAAAGATGAATGTACTTCTGTAATATAAAGAAAAGACTCCCCCCCCCCTTTCGCCCCCCCCCATAGTACTCCCCCCCAAGCACCTTTGGCTCCTTAGGTCCAGAGACAGCTTCTGCATAGGTGATGATAACTATAAGAAAAGAGAAGCTGTCTCTTTAACATGCCCTGTTCTGTCCCTGATCCCACGTGGAACCAACATCAGCAGCACTTTCCCATTAACTTCAATGTGATGCAAGAGGCATCATCCTTTTATATACATAAAACGAGAAAACCTCAACTTACATTCTTTACTTAAGAGGAACAGGTGAAACAAAGGTGTCAGGAAAAGAGAAACCGAAAAACTCCTCAGCCCTCCCCAAAAGGTGCACTTAGCTTACTCTCTGTCCTCCCTGTGCAACATCACCTCTACCCCTGACTACTATAGAGTTCAGTTTAAATAAAGGAGGGAGCCACTAACAAAACCTGAAACGTAAAGGCAACGAAAATACAATTTACAGCCGGAAAGGTTTATTCTTTTAATCACACGTACCCACTGTACGAAGAAAGTGACATTATAAAGACATCCCTTCTTTTACTTCCAAAACTCACGCAAAGATCACGAAAAGGGAGTTATAAAATAGCAAATGCAGCATTTATCTTATCTCAGATCAGTCCACATTACCAATAAGTTTAGCAGTTTCTGCACTACCACCTCCCCCCTCCCTCTCCCTCCTTCTCTTGCATCGGATTTTCACGTTTTCTCATTGTCGGTTGTGAGTTATAAAAGGCTTTTGCCCTTCGAAAGTTTTAAAAAAATAAATAAATATTAACTCCTTGGTCCCTGCAAAGTCAAAATGGACCTGAGGGGAAACGCGGTGGATACTTTTACCTTTAGCGAGAAAAGGGGGAGCATCCCGGGTTTTTAGGCATTTTTTGTGATTTTTTAAAAATTTTTATTTGGTTATATGCCTGAGTTCTCCCTCCATTTTGGTTGTTTATGATACTGACAACAAGCTGTCCCTGCTCTCTGCAGATCTCCTGCTTTCATTTAACACCCCCCCTCCCCCTACCCCCCCAATGCAACCCCCCCTTCCAGGGCTCACACCTCCCCCCAAGCAAATAAAACACCCCAACCCCAACTCTCCTACCTGGGGAAAGGGGAAAAACAAATTCATTTCTCTGGAAAGAAAAACCTCTGGTGAAAAAGGGGCAAAGTTACCCCAAGTCACTCAAAGTGCCCCCCAAATATTGCCGACTGCGGGTTTCCGCCGGGGCCCTTGGGAAGCGACTTTCCCCGGGGATGTTTTGGTGGAAAATGCGGAGTGTTTACTCTCAAAACTGAATTTATATTAATTTTTCCCTGATTTTTCGGGTCTCTAATGTCTTCCGCTCTCGCTGCTGCCGCTGCTGCTGTCACAATATTCACAGCACCAGAGAAGAGGAGGAGGAGGAGGAGGAGAGGAGGAGGAGGAGAGGAGGAGGAGGAGGCGAAGAAAAAAAAACTTTTCAAACTTTCCAAACCCTTCAGAAAAGGGGGAAAAAAAAGTTTCTTTTTTTTTTTTCCCACCGACTTCACCTTTTGGTCCCCGGGACGCGTCGCCTCCGGCCCCGGCAGGAGCGGGAGCTGGGGCTCTTCGCTGCCCTTTCCAATGATTTTATTTTATTTTATTTTTTTTCATTTTATTTTGCTCTCTCTGGGGTCCCGAGCAGGGGCTGCGAGGAGCACAAACTTTTCCTCCTCCTCCTCCTCCTCCTCCTCCTGCTCCTCCTGCTGCTGCTGCTGCGGCGGCTGCTCCTGCTCCGGCGGCGGGGCTGCTGCTGCTGCTCCTCTGCCCCCTCAGCTCGTCCCATAATTTAAATAACCCTGATATTTCCCCCGCTAAACGCCTCTCCGCCCGCCCCGGACCCCGGGAGAACTCACCGCGGGGCTTTAACATCCTCCCTCCGGCCCGTCCGCCGCCTTTACACCGCCCGCCGAATTTCTAATAATTTTTTTCTCATATTTCGGGCTGGACGCGGCGGGCCTGGAAATTGTTTCCTTTCGCCTCTTTCCAGCAGCCATTGTAGTGTATGCGCTGCCCCTGCAGCCCAACTTGCAGCAGCCGCAGCCGCAGCCGACGTCGCGCCCACCGCCGCCGCCGCCGCTGCCGCCGCCGCCGCCGCCGCCGCCGCCGCCACCGCCTCCCCCGGCCCGCTCGGGCCGCCGCCTCCCTGATGGCCCGCCCCTCTCCGGCCTCCCCCCCTTCACGCCCGCCCTCCTCTCCCCCCACTTCATCCTCCCTCCTCCCCTCCACCCCATCACCGCCACCCTCTACCGCCGGGCCCGGCTATTGGGCGCCGCTGCCGGCCTCGAGCCCAGCTCTGGTCAGGCGATTGGTGAACGCGGACGTCAGTCTTGCAGCTGGTGTTAAGGGGTGGGCGCAGAGCTGAGATTGGGGGGAGCGTGGGGGAGGGGGAAATAGAAAGGGAGGCGGATACCTCGCGGGCTTCTCCCCCCTCTTTCCTCCTCCCTCGCTCCCGCCTCCTCGCGAGCTGGGGGTGGGGAAGGGCCGGCTGGATCGAAGTCTTCGAGTGGTCGGCCCGGTTGTCAGTCACATAAAGGTGAGAACCGATTGGACAAAGGGGCAACTGGGGGGAGAAGGGGCAGCGAGTTAGGCTGCGTGCTACATAAGGCGCTGCTGCGTGAGCCATTGACGTGTTTGGAGCTGGAGACGGCCTGGAAGCTGGGGTAGCTGCGGTGAGAGGTAAGGGGGTTCCCTTCTTCCTCTGGGGTAATTGGAGCGAGGATGTACTTGGTCCTTTCCCCCACCCTTGCCTTTCGGTCCTGCAACTTGAGCCGGGGCCCCCGCGGTCTCCTTGGTCCGGAACAGCGTGTTCCAGGCCTAGTCATGGCTCTGTCTCCTCCCCCCTACTCACTAGGTCGGGGAAGCAGCTTCCCCATTTGTACCGGGACGGGGAAGGTGACCTCTCCTTCCCACTGGGGAGGGGTGTGTGTGTGTGTGTGTGTAGGCAAACTTACCCCCCCTTTCAGGTATTACCTTTGAAGACCCACCTCACTTCCTTGTTTCTACTCCCTTCCATTCATCGCCCCCACTCTCAGCTCCTGGGTGGGGGGAGCTTTGCTGGTGAGATGATCCTGGCCCTCCCCGGGGTCAGAGGTCACAGTCACCCCTCACCCCCCAGCTGAAGCAGCAGCCTCCTCGCGTGACCCAATGTGGAATGCCCTGGTTTTGTCTTTCAGGCCTTGGTTAGTGGCTGGAGCCGTCGGTCCTCGGGGAGCCCCGACCCCCGGCAGCGGTCTGGCCGGTTGATAGGGACAAACGTACTCCCTGATATGCCGATCCCTCCCCGAACCAAAGCAAATCAGGAGCCGACAAGACAGCAACTATTGGGGGAGTAATACCAAGGAATAATAATTTGAGAGCTTCCTGGGTAGGTTTCTGAGCTTTTCCTGGAAGTGATGGGAAGGGAGAGGAGGGAGAGCTCAAGCAGTCTGTCTGCTGCTTTCCCCCTCCCAACTGACCCCTTACGGGAGGGTCCTTGCAGGCTTTTAAGGGTGCAAGGAAGAGGAACTGTCCAGAACCACTGTAGAAAGCTTCCTTTCACCTTCAGAAAGTGGACCAGGTACCTCAAGACCTTTGTCATGTTAATTCTGTTTTTTATATCCAGTCTTCCACCTAACTACTTCCTTAATCTAAATGGACTTTGATTTGAACTCGACTGTTTTTTATTGGAAGATAATTTCTGCTTGGGGTATAGTAACCTTGAGAAACTTAAGCACTTTTGATAATAGGGTCACAGAGTATAAATACTGAAGGGGAAAAGGAGCAGGTCTTGCTATTAATAAACCATTCACGTCTCTCTCAGTCTTAGTAATAGACCCTTAAATCCTTCCTAGAAGAAGTTGCCTAGTTTCAAGTCATATTAACCACTTGAGTTCCAGTAGATGTCTGATTAAACAGTAAACTGAAAACAAGGTATTTGTTTCCTAAAGGTAAGCACCAGTGTTTTGAGTGAATAGGAAAAAAAAAACATTTCATAGCACTTTGTCCTTGTACAAGGAAAAATAGGGTGATATAAAAATGTGCTTAGGAAGAAAAGAAACTTCTAATTGTTGATACTTAACAGTTATTAACTTGAATCACAGTTGACTTCTACTTAGGACTTATGTCTAGAACAGTGGTTTCAAACTGAACAAGAACCAGGGCCATCAAGCCATACATAAGGATCCCTGCAGGCCACGTATTGGTTTAGTTTTAGTGTTATATATCTTTTATTGCATTTTTGTTTATTTTGTTAACTATTTCCCAATTACATTTTTTTCTTGTTCAGCAGCATTTTTGATATCTTTAGAGCATCCGCATCTGCATTTTCTAAATGTTGAAAATGAATTAACTATACTTTTATTAAAGTAGCCTCATTGACATTAGTTAAAGCTGAAGGTACTAAACTTTTTTCTTAACCCTTGGAAGATGATCATATGTGGAATAATTCTTCAGACATCTCCTATGCCCACATAAGAAATTTAGCCTGGGTACCCCCTTAATCTTATACAATCTTATATACCATCCCCCAGAATCAATTTCTTCTTCTTCCTCCCTAGGCTTCCCCAAACCCCCCCCTTCCCCCCCAAAAAAAAAGCCTAGTTGTACTGTTTGTCAAAATAAAGACAAGTGTTTCTCTTTTGGGATGTGAGAATTGAATCATAACAGTTACAACTGTAATTTTTAAATTCACTGTTAACTTCATAATCATCTTAATTTAGTGGGTTGTGCTGCCACCTTTAATGAATTTCTCTGCATCTCCTTTAGGTAGTATTTGATAAGTAAGAGTAGAAATCAGCAGTAGAACATGCTCAAACTTCATGAAAGGCTTCTGAAAAAATATTTCATAAGAATCTAATCAAGGAAGAAACTGAATTCCTATGAAAACTGCTACTTTGGGATGGTTTAAAAGCTCACTGCACAATATACCTATAGGGATAAGGATTGGACCTGTAATTTCATTGAAAAACAAAACTATCAATGCAGGTTATCAACTTCTCTGCAAATTAAAGCTTGACAGTTGCCTAGAACACTGAGATTAAGTGCTTTGCCCCAGCATCACAACCATTATGTATCAGAGGCAGCATTAGTGAAGGTATCATCCAGTACTTACTCCTTTTATAACGACTTTTTTCTGAGGCAGGCCTTAGTTACTGCACCAGAGAGAGGCAAGTATAGTGGATATGTATAGTGTTGGACATAGGAGTCAGGATGACCTGATTTCAAATTCTGCTGTTGATACTTAACAGATATATTTGATCACGGGCAAGTTATTTTAATTTCTTTAAACCTCAGTTTTCTTAACTGTAAAATAGAATGATAACTGAATACCTCATAGGGTTATTGTGAGGCTCAAATGAGAACATATATAAAGCACTCTTCAACTTTAAAATGCTATAAATGTATTGGCTAATATGCCTCAGTGTCATTCCCTGGTGGAAGCCTTTTTATCTGAGACAGCATCAGTTAACTAGTATGATTTGTGATGAAGTGGGAATTATGTGTTACAGCATTTTTGAAGACAGTGATTGCCCTACATCTCTTTTTTATTTCCATCCTTCTAACTTCTTAAACTACAAAGAGGGGATTAGTCTACATCACTAAGGTCAGGTAACAGCTCTAACATTCTGTATCATTCTTTGATCCTTCTTGCCACCTTTTTGTCCCCTCCCCCCAATTTACATACACTTGAATTGAACTTAATTGGGTTTTAACTAGTTCATACTTCATTAAATAACAGCCTTAAATATTTAATTGCTTAATATGAACTAATCAGTTATATATTTATATAGTTACTATGTATATAAAACTACATATAGTTAGATACAGTAAATGTAGTTATATGTAACTGTATATTGTATACATATGGAGATAAAGGTAAACACACATGAACTTGAACGGTCTGGCTACTTCTCAAAGTAGATTTGGACAAAATTTAAACAACTATTAGCAACTATGAGTGTAGGGCAAAACATGTAAAGTACCTGTTTCTAATTGTAAAACTTAATTGAAATTTTTCAGAGTAATATAATCTTAAATGTTTCAGGCAATTGTGCCAATAGGATTTTAAAAACTTATATAAATAACCTTTCTTTCTAACTTTTAGCTGCAGTAAGAAGATTAGGATGCCTGTTGTTGTGAAGAGACTTAGAGACCCTGATGTAAATCCTTGTTTGCCGGTAGGATGGCTTTTTTTGTTTAACTTTCATAGATTTTTGAGTTGGAAGAATAAGCCCCAATTTTGTGATTTAGAGTTTCTGTATTTTTGTAATTATTGAATAAACTTTTAAAAAATTCTCAACCATTGTATCCTTATTTCATAGAATATTTTAAATATTCACAATTTAGCCCATCAGAATATTTATTGAGCACCCACTTATTTTCTTACACATTTGTATAATGTATACACATGTATATATCAAACCATTTTGTTATCACTTGATATCTCGACACAAATATATAATGTCAGAGAAGAATCTTAGACCAAATGTAGTTTTTATTACTTATATGGAAAGTTGGAAGGTATGGCATTTTAAAAACTGACATTGGAATTTAAGTTCTTTTCCTATTACCCCATTCAGTGCTGTCCTTGAGGCAAGCTAACAGTAGAGTTATCTATTATAATAGAACTAATTTCTTAAAACTGAAGTATCTTCTAAAAGATATAGCATAAACAAAATGTAATGCTGTATTACAAAATTTTTATTGGCATTTGTTGGGTATGACCAGCAATACTTACTCATTGGTTCTGCCCCCCCATCTGAAACTTATGCCAATGAAAACCATATCACTCAATCCTTAATGCATTCTCTCATATGTATGTATATTCACTTTAAAATTTGGTGGCATGTAAACTTAGATCTTTTCATGTGTTAAAATAGTTCCTAGTAGCTTTATTATAATTAAAAGAGCCTGTTTGGAAAGAACATGTTTTCTTATGCTTATGAAAGCAGATATTCATATAGTTCTATAGTTGACTAACTGAAATTAACTCATTTTCACTTTGATGTTTTGAGATAATCCAGTCTACTTCTGGTTCAGTTCAGACTACTTAAACTTGGTTCCCAAGTGTTAGTTATACTCCTTTAAATTCACATAGCTTTTTTTTCCTGACTTATATTTGAAATGGAATTTAATTTCTTTTTTAAAAATTGCTTACTTAGCATATGGCATTTAATAGTCTGATGGAAAGACATTTTGGTGAATTAGGTATAATCTAGGCTTTCTTAAAGTTAATTTGGCTCAAAGATCATCTGTATCCTGGTTTTACCTCTTTGGTCTGCCTTGGTTAGAATTTCCTAACCCCTACAGATAGGGTGTCAAGACTACGAGGGAGAAATGAAGTGTGATGCCAAATATTTTTCTCACACACGTTGAATTGGAAAATATTAAACCAAAATTTTGTCCATGAGTGTTCCGAAATGGCTTCCAAAATGGACTGGTTTTATCTTTCCATCATTAAATATTGCATGTTTTGCATGTTAAAGGAATCAGATGCTTCTACCAGATGTATGGATGAAAATAATTATGACAAGAAAATGTGTACCACTTGCTTCTTGAAGTACAAAAACTGCAGGAAATTTTGGGTAAGTAGAATTAATACCAATTTGAAAGATGAGATGTAGGGAAATCACAACCCATGTCTATTGTTAATTGTGATTATCAGAGCAAAGAGAGCCCTGAAAGTTTGCAGATGCTTAGCAGTTATTTTCAACTTCACCATTTCCATTTCCGTCATAGTAGCATGATAGGTTAACTTGTTTTTCCTATTCAAATTTACTAGCTTTGTTGTGTCAAACAAAGGTACAATGTCTCCTACTCAGAGATGTTTTTATGCAATACAGCCTTACCATTAGACATTAGAACTACCTCTAAAATAGCTAGTAGAGGCTTACTTTGTTCTTAAACTTTTCACACACATAGAACTTAAGGGAAAGACTTCTACCTCTCCTCCTCCTCCTCCTCCCATCCCCACCACTGATAACTGCCAACATCACTTGTCAAAGCTTTTTATTCTTAAGGGGTGCATTTTTTCCTGACTTGTTTTGTTTTGTTTTAACTTGACCTTTGAAACTTGGATGTGTTTTTTAAAAGTGTGCCTTTGGGGGGAAAATTGTTTGTTTTTTAAGTAATGGAGTAAAGTTAAAATAAATATAAAATTAACTTTGATTTTTGTTTGCTTATATTTAGAATGCCATTATGGTGGAAAGACGACGAAATGGAGTTAAACCACCTATGCCCACAGCTGCAGAAAGAGAAAAAATCTTGGGAGCAATGGGAAAGATGCCCTATTAAAGGCTTATATGAATAATATTGTTTCTTTGACTTGATATTTTGGACCAGATCTTTTAAAATATATTTGATGCATTTTGATTTTTATACCAACATTACTTCCAAACAATTTATCTTCCCTCTTTTCTCTCCCTATCTCCTCCTCACCCCCAGGCACCAACTCCTCCATAGTGTCTTCTCTTAAATATTTTTTTCTTTTAACTAACACAGACCTGGTACAACTGCAACCTTATGTTACAGAGGACAGAAGACATAGTATTTTGTACCCAGAGTTAAGGGTAAATACTTTTAACTATTTCTAGCTCCTGCAAATATGTCAGATTGAAAATAACTTGGTTAATGTTTCAAGGGATAATTCTATTGTTACTAATGACATACTATGTAATTATACATGTATTTATAAATGCAATGTCTTGCATTTATAATAGTGTTTTATATTTAACACTTTGATCCTCTAAAACCCTTCAAGTTTGGTACTATGAGTATTAAATGTTCTGTTTTACAGATTAAGAAACTAAAACTGAGAAGTGGAAACTTGTTGGAGATCATTTATGTATTAAGGGATTCTAACTTTGGTCATTTGATGTTCAATTTACTCTTCCATGCTGCATCAGAAAGTAATGTCAGAAATCTGAATTGGAAAGATACCTCACAGACTGCCTAGTTGAATTTGGACCTCAACAAGAATCACTTCAATAAAGACATCTCTTTTTGTCTTATTAAGAAGATAATCCAGATAACATCACCACAGTATATCTAGTATGACAATTACTATTAGCTTTCCTGTTCTGGTGCATTTTTTTCAAACAAAATCACATTGAAAGAAGTTTGGTACACAGCCACTCACATGTTGTTTACATACTGTTGGCATTGTAGGCAGGATGGAGAAGTTAATGGCTTTCTGTCCTCCAGTCCCACCTAACTCTGGTGACTCAGTTTAACACATTCTTTTCCCACCTTCAATCATCCCTGTTAGCCTTAGTTAAGAAAATTATTAAGCCAGGATCTAGGAGAGAAAACAATTTAGGTGGTGAAGTTATATGATTAATTCTACCCTGCTCTTTTTCCTTCCTACTGAGTGACACTGAGTAAATGATTTTTAATGTATTCTTTTTTTTTTCTTTTCCCCTCCTCCCTTGCCATTTTACAGGTGTGGGAAATGAGGGTGCCATGATTTAAGACCCTAAGGGTTTGAAACATTGCTTTGGAATTAACTAGAAACTAGGCATCAAACTTGAATCTAAAATATAATGAGGAGGGGAATAAGCATTTATATATCACCTGCTATGTACAAGGCGCTGTGCTACATGCTTATTTAATCCTCACAACAGTTCAGTGAGGTGTGTGCTGCTGTTCACTATTTCACAGCTGAGAAAACTGAAATAAAGATTAGGTGACTTGCCTAGGATCATTTAGCTAATAAGTGTCAGAGATTGGATTTGAACTTGGGTCAGCTCTAGGCCCAACTTCTATCCAGTGTCACAGCTGCTGCTAAAGAGTGGTTATGAGTTAGGTGGCAGTGCCTTATGTATCTTTTGTCCCATGTACTATGGATATAGGATCATAGATCTAGAACTTGAGGAAACCTCAGAGGCCATGTAGTCCAACCACCTCATCTTACAGATGGAGAAATAGAGGCCTAGAGAGATGAAGTGATTCATCCAAAGTCACATAGATCACATCAGAGATAGGATTCAAATCCTTTTCTGACTCGAGTTACTAACTTCTTCCGCACTATCTCATCCCAAGGGATTGCAAACATCATAGCTCCATATCCTTACCTGCTTCACAAATGTAGCTCCCCACTGATAAATATCTTTCCTGTTCTATAGCAGCATTTCAGTAGGACTAAGGAGATAACTGGAGTACTAGTGCCCTGTGATTTCCAAGTCTATAGGAAATTTACCTTAAGCTATGGTCTAGTGGAAGTCTGGCAAAGTTTTGGTAATGCTTCCTAGTATCCAGTATTGAGATAAGTGGTAAATATAAACTAATTGGAACTACAAAGCCTTCTTTGATTTGCCACTCCATGTGAATTCAGCAAAAAACAACACAAAAAACTTGCCTAGCCAGCCCTATTTTGTACATTTGTACTGCATTTACTCAGTGAGCCAAGTTACAGTTAGCTCGTGTTTCTAGGCTGTGTACTGAACTAAGTTCTACAAGGACAGTGACTGTCTTGAGTGAGTGAATGAAAGGTAACTTCTAGAACCTGGAGTTAGATTACAGGCTTGCTATAACATTTAGATAATACTTTAAGGTTTACAAAGGGCTTTTCTCAATGAAACTCAGGTAAGTAATGGAAGTGTCAGTTTTATGGATGAAGAAGCAGCTATTAAGTAATGCTACTACAACATGCGTAGTATAAGCCCATTTTGCACTAGATAGTACTCATTTTTTCTCCTGAATTTGAACCTATCAAGCTTAGTCAACCTTGTAAGGGTAGGCTATATTTCAACCATGAATAAAACAACCATGATGGTGTGTGTGTGGGGGGACTGGGATTGGGATGGGGAGGAAATTCAAGAGTGAACTTAAAACTGGTTTCATCAAATGTTTGTTTCACTCAAGTAAATGTGTACTTTGTGATTTTTTTCTAAAACTAAAAATGCATTTTCATCAGAAATATTTCCTAGTGATGAATGGAACTCTGCCAAAATTCAGACCATCTTACATGGCATAAGTTAAAAAAAAAAAAACGAAGAAGACTTAATAATTTCTGTAATATAGTGTAATCATGTTATTTTGATCTAAGCAATTCAAAGCTCCGTATTATACTTGAATAAAGATGCATTGTTATGGAAATTATGGACTTCATCTGGAAGTAGTATTTCCTAGGTTTTCTTTGGTTACTGTATAGAAATTAAGATAGTTCTGGAAATGATCTTAGTTAAATATACATTTTATATAAACTCTTGTTTCCATTTCAATCATTAAATAAAGTATTTCTTAGAGGGCTTTCAATTTTAACATCTTTTATTATGGCAGTCAAATAGTAATTTTGATAATAGTTCAATTGGCAAAGCTGTCATCCCATAAGTAGATTTCCTATAAAATTTAACGAGGAGGTGACTAAAATATTATTGGCATTTTGAGTCAACACAAAACACTCCCCAACTTTCAAGAACAAAAACAAAAAGCCTAAGTCTCAGCACAGCATACCCTAATTGCTAAATTAGGGTAAAATTGCTAATTGGTCCAACACCTTACCATTTTTTCACTCTGTTGCTTTCCACTCATAGCCCAGTGTTCTTGTGCTGCCATGAATCTGCCAATACACCACTCTTAGGCTTCTCCTGAGTAAGTCCTATACCCTATGACTTTGGTTTGTTTTGGGTGAGAAAACTATATGTAGTTATATATTACTGGAAGTATTACCTACATGATGTGTTTACACTTGATAATTTACACAACCATTAAAATTTTGTGAGATAGGTCATTATTATCCCCATATTACAAATGAGGAAACTGAGTCTGCAGTTGTAACTCGAAGATAGTCGTGCAGTAAATGCCAGAGCAAGAATTTGAATCAAGGTCTGATTCAAGTATAGTTCTGGTTCTGTTACAGTAGGAGATGTGGCCTCAATACAAAGTGTAGGTGAATATTTCAGGCAGCAAAATAGGGAAGGTTAGGGAGAAGACTCCTTAATTCAAAAGGATGAACTGTAAAATAGTGGATTCTCTACTCAGTTCTTCAGGCAGTGTTGATGACTACTTGTTGGATATGTTAGAATGTGGGATTTCTTCTGGGTCTGGGTTGGATTAGAAGGCTACTGTGGTACCTTCCCACTATATTCTGTGAGTGTGAGAAAGGTGGTTTGGAGTAGGCCCTTTGGCAACCCTCAGATAACTCTATATGACCTTCTACTTCATCTACTCATCTGATATTCACTGATGTGAAGTAACTTTCTGAGTATAGTTTTAGAGCAAACTTAGACAAGCTAAAATACTTTAAAAAAAAACAAAACTAAAAAGCATTTTTACCAATTGACTTTACCTCCTACTTATGTTTTAAAAAAAGATGAGAAGAAATGCTTACCCTTTTTGTTATGTTTCAAATGCTTTATTCTGACTGATATATGAGGAAAGGGAACTTGGATTTTGCTTCAATTAAAAATCAAAATTCTCAGAGAAGTATTTTGAAGAATATTGATTAATAGCAATCCTAATATAGTCACATCTGTGAATTACTTGTTTCATCTAGGGGCAAGTTGTCCACACTGCAGTGTAGGGGCCTGGATGGTTTCTTTCAGTTATACTTGACTTTTTTGTTTGACAACTGGATGGTGCTATTGTGCAGCAGAAGTATGAAATCCCAACAAGTACAGCATACTTATCATCTGCTTGAAAGGATCTTTAAAATATTAGGAAAAAAAATCTATCAGCCTGCAAAAACATTTATTAACCTACCTACTGATTGATTACCTGTGTCCCTTCTCAGCACCTTCTGCTTCCCATATCAAATAATTTGAGTTAAGTGTGCACAGATATACTGCTGCCATACTCAGGGTTCTACCAGTTGTTGTTATCTATAGAAAGAACTAAAAGAAAATGAGGTGAACTTCGAAGTTGTATATTAATGTGACTAAAGAAAAGGAATGGGACCAAGAAAATGGAGCAAGCAGTGAGGAACAAGGGAATGTTGACACAAATAAAAAGAAGGTAATGACCTAGGCAGTTCATGGCAGGATATGAGTCTTTCTTTTAAAGACCTATGCATGTTTATAGTAATTATAATCTGCATATTTATAGAAATAATCTCTACCTCTGGTAATGAATTAATTTCAAGAATCATCCATAATGAAAATAAAGGTGTGTCAAAATCTCAAATTCTTAATGCAAAGTTTTACATATATAGTAATTTGTGTGTATAAATACGTAAAGGCAATGTGACATAATGTATAGTCAAGAGAACCTGAATTCAAGTCCTACCAATGACGCATACTGGCTTTTGACCCTAGGTAAGTCACAATCTTACAGTGCTCTTGGCAAAGAAGGTACTGACCTACATTAGTAGAGAAAGTTTTCTCATTTAAGAGTTCTCTGTAGCAATGAAATCACAGGTCCAGACCCTATTTTTATATGCACACAACATTCATAGATGTGCCTTTATAGATATTATATGATATACATATGTACTCAAAAAGTTTGATATATGCATGTGTGTATATGCACACATATGCACTCATACACTTTTTTTGTCTAGATCTATGATTTTATTGCTTTAGGGAACTGCCATTACCAATGGAAATAAGCTACTCTTGCAATGTCACTTGCCTAGGCTAGGGTCACACAACCAATATTTACCATAGGCAGAACTTGAACCCAAATCTTTTTGACTCAGGCCGTCTCTATCCACTATGAAACACTGCATTTCTCTCTCTCTCTTTCTTCCTTCCTTCCCCTCTTTCTTCCCCCTCCACACATGTATATGTGAATTCAAAGTTGTATATATACTATATGTATGCACATCTTTTAAATTGCTTTTGTACACAAATTTTAAAAATATTTGTAATGCCTCTGT